GTTTAATTTAATTATTAAACGTGATAAATAACATCATAATATTAATAATGATTTAATTTATTGTGCATTTTATTTATAAATTGTTGTTATATCTTACTAAAAGCCCAGCATATCCTTCATGTTTTTGAATATATTGGAAGCGCCTGTGAATATATATAATATTTAATTAATTATTAATTATATCATGTTTATTCTCATAATGGTATTATGTATTAAATATAGCATTCAAGAACTGGATCAATTAAAATCGCCTAGATTGAATATTGAATTAATGTTGTCCAACTTAACTTAAAAATTATAATGTATAATAAAATGCCGATATAATAGGCTATAATTGTATTATAAATGACATAATAAGCACACTTACCAAACACCCAACACAGGCCGACAATCTCAAAGAAAACGACCAAGAGCAGTGAGAATCCGCTGGCCGAGAAAAAGTCCATGAGCTGAAACACGTACATTCCGCCGCCCATGATCAGGGGAACACCCAGACAAAACTGCACAATGACCACGGTCAGCGTGAACAGTCGCCTCCGGGGGCGCAGATAGCGGGGCCACTCGTCCACAATGCCGGTGACAAAGGCCTCGACAGTGCAAAACTGGCTGTCGATACCCAGTATGAGTAGCATCAGGAAGAATAGTATGGACCAGAGGGGCGATATCGGCAGTTGAGTGACCACTTCGGGATAGGCCAGAAAGGCCAGACCCGGTCCCGATTTGGCCACATCGCCCACACCCTTGCCCTGGATGTGCGCCATGTGTCCCAACACTGAGAATATGACAAATCCCGAGAATAGTGACGTTCCGCTACTCACTATACACGCGATGATTGAGTCCCTATTAAACGCGTGGTAATAAAAATGAAAATTAATTTTAGTATTTGTTGTAAATATTTGTATAATTTTATCATTTGTAATGTTTAATTAGTTGTTGAAATGTTATTGAAATTACAATAAAAATATTAGTATATTTTAACTGTACATTAAGAATTCACTGAATTATAATCATGATAGCATATTTGATATTATATTATGATATTTATATTATGATATATTTAACTATGATATTACTGATAATATTCAGTGTAAATTATAATAAATAGTTAACAAACTCATGATGTTCTTTGAAAATGATAGTGATGACTTTGTAATGGTAGTTTTCTCAAGTATTATAAAGTTTTATTTATTAACTATTTACAACAATTTATCAAAAATGTCATCAAGGTCGCTTTTTAGTGCAACAATTTTACAGATTATAAGTTTTATAATTAATTATTAAAATTAATATCCATTACACGCACACAAACATCACTTGAAACTCATAAAAACATAAATTATTGGCTTATAATACAGAGAACTTTTTTGAGAGTATTTATCACCGACTCTTACAGAATATTCTGTAAATAATTCATGTTTTATATGCATGTATGATATGTTTGTACACATAAATTATGCACGTGTTTGTGTAGGCAAATCGTGCCTGCTCTCTCTCTCTCTCTCTCTCTCTCTCT